TTTACAAGTTCAAACACGATCTATGACTAAAAAGGGTGTAAACCCACACCAATATTTGACTCACACTAATTCATTTACACCTGAGAATGATCACCTCAGAGTTTATGAATCAGTAAACAATTTAGAAGCATTTAATATGCCTAAAATTATATTCGACATACAAAACGATAAAGTTAATATACAGTTACTTACGAAAAACTTGAAAAGAATAATCGCACATGCGCATTTATTCTATATTAATGGTGAAGTAGATGTAACAAAATGCCTGCAGGTCATAAATGAAATGGCAGTGAAAATGAAAATAAAATCACTTGCAATAAAAAGAGATGATAAACTGTTCACGATGATACCATTAGAGGTATTTAAGCAAGCGTGTAACAATGAATTGAAAAATTTGCAAATCGTAATATATGTACCGGTACAAATAATTAAAAATGAAGAAATGATACAAAAATTGATATCTGAAAACCACGACACACCTACGGGAGGTCACGTTGGTACTAATAGATTACTGAAAAAATTAAGGTCAAAATATTATTGGTTTAATATGAAAAACTCTATTTCTAATTACATAAAAAATTGTAATAAGTGTATACAAAATAAACATAAAATTAAAACAAATGAAACTTATACTAAAACTTCGACACCAATTAAATGTTTCGATGTAATTTCAATCGACACAATTGGACCGTTTACAAGGTCAAACAAAGGAAATAGATACGCATTGACAATTCAATGTGACTTATCTAAATATGTAGCAGTAGTACCACTACAAGATAAACAAGCTAAGACTTTAGCAAGAGCATTGGTAGAAAACTGTTTTCTCATTTACGGATGTCCATCAGTTATAAAATTTGATTTAGGAACAGAGTATAAAAATGAAATTTTCAACGACATAAGCAATTTACTATCGATACAACAAAAGTTTTCAACAGCCTACCACCCACAAACAATAGGCAGTCTTGAGCGCAATCATCGTTGTCTTAATGAATATCTTAGACATTTCATTAATGATCAACATGACGATTGGGACTCATGGCTAAGTTTTTATACCTTTTGTTACAACACTACTCCACATTCAGAGCATTCCTTCACACCGTTTGAGTTAATTTTCGGAAAACAAGCTAATCTACCAAGTCAATTTACAAATAACCCTACAGTTGAGCCAATTTACAATCATGAGTCGTATCTCTCGGAGCTGAAATTCAAGTTACATACAGTATGTCAAAAAGCAAAGAATCTTTTGGATAAATCAAAATTAAATAGAATTAACAAACAGCAACAACATTCAAATCCTATTCAAATAAATATTAGAACAAAAGTATGGTTAAAAAAAGAAAATCGAAGAAAACTCGATCCGGTATATACAGGTCCATTTGAAGTTATTAGCGAAGATCACCCAAATGTTATAATTAAAAATTTAATTACACAGGATACCCAAAAAGTTCATAAAAATAGAATTGTGAATGTATAAAAAAAAATATACATATATATAATGAAAATCATGTTTTATTAACTAAAGATTAAGCAAAACACAATCTATCAAGAATTTATAAAGTTTAAAATATAACATAAGTATCAAAATTTATAATAACAATATCAATATCATTCTATCATTATATAAATCAATTAAGAGGTTCTTGGATTAGTAATATCAAGAATGATCCTACTATGTAATATCATTCTTCTCAAAGGGGGAAGGTGTAAGCAAACTTACCCACATAAACTTTCTCACAAGTACAATCTTTCTCATAAAGCCTACATTTCATAACACATCGTAAATTTCCTAACACATTCTTTAAACTCAACCATTTCCCACCAGAACATCAAGTCCATGTTCCCATCCTAATTACAACATATTAACCCGTACCCACGGACAGTTCCAATCATTCATACAAAGCAATAAACCTCAAGTAGCACAACAGCACTTGAAGCTAAGAACTGAAGAACATGCAAAAAGTGTCCTATTACCACACCGCTAACACAGTTCCATTCTCGAGAAATGCATAGCGCAAGCGACTGTGACAAGTCACTCGCGCTAGGGCACTCACTCTCTCTATGTTTACATTCTCTATCTTTCTATCATCCCCTCCATGCACCATCCATCTAAATGCTAGAATCGATTATGTACCGATCAGAATGCTAACTTCTGATTGGTTAACATTTTACCGAACGCTAATCCACGTTCCTCAATACATAGATTTAAGATACTCGTTGTAACTGATATAAAACTAAAACCGAAATAAATCGACGGCAATTCTGGATTTCTTTTCAAACCTAAAAGGTATGACATTTATTTATACGAAACAAGCCTTCTCCGTACACAGGAGCCGTCTCCCTGATGTTGGTAACGCTGGTGCTCAGCACGGAAAACAAATCAAGGAAAACACACTTCAGAATTATCAGGAAAATTTGAGAAATGTGCAGACACAGATAGAAAATAATTAACAATGTAAACAGTCGAAATTCAAGTGATACTTTACTTTTTTGTCCTGATTTCCATCGATTTCAAGCGATTCAAAGCTTTCCACTCGGATTCACATCAAATTCAAGTGATTCTAAACTTTTCAGGTCTCATTCACATCCAATTCAAGTGATTCCAAACTTTTCAGCTCTAATTCACATCAAATTCCAGTGATTTCAAACTTTTCAGGTCTGATTCACTTCGCTACGACTTCAAGAGATTCAGGTCTGATTTTCAGTGAAGCGATATTATTCTTATGGCGGGTAATATATATTTAATGGTTTACTATTTTTCATAGTGATTTCAAACTTATCTACTAGATCAATAAATTTGAAATGATTTCTAGCTCGAAATGATTCAGTACTATCCATAGTGATATCTAACTTATCTACCGGGAGCCATCACTTTCTGCAACACTTTCATAGTCTAACTCTGGCGTTCTGAATGTTTACTACAATAATTTAACAGTGATACAGTGAATTTGTTCAAATTTTACCGAAAATATAAACTTTTCCATGGGTGATGCTAAACTTTTTTGGGGGTGATGCAATATTCAAACGAGTGTTGCAATACTTTTCCACGCGAGTCATCACTTATGACGGGTAGTGCAGGGTGGCCAGTGAACCGGGAAAACCGGGAATACCGGGAAATATCCGGGAATTTGAAAAGTAACCGGGAAAACTGGGTTAAACTCGGGAACTCGATGAACTCGATGAGAGAACCGGGAAAAATAAATTAACCACACCATTGGAATGCATTTTTAAATCAGGATTTCAGAATAAACCATTCAAACATAGTGATTCTTTGCCAAATGACTGTCTTTCTCTATTTGTTGCATAATTTTCTTCAGATTTCCGTCTTATTGTTTTGAGAATTTAATCACTCAGTCAAATTGATTTCAAATTGATTTTTGTCGTTTCAATTTCAGATGCAAAGTGCATGGTCCTCAAAACAATATATTAAAGATGCTGGACTTGAGAAACAAATATTTGTAATAATTGAAACTATACTATTCTTTTCCGGGGATTTAATTTTATTCGAAATTCGCATGATATCAATCCCAAATTTTGAAGAAAAGTTCTAGTTTCAGACTCTACACAAATTTCGAAGCCCCAGAATCTTGGGAATCTACTAAAATCATTTTTTATCTTTTTAGTAAATAACCTTTCACTTATTTTTTTTTTCAAGTATTGGTCAATTGGACGCGGGTATTAAATTTCATGAACCATGTTTACTTTCACGTTGAGTGAGTTTCAACGTCAGTAGGTTTTACATTTTTTTCGTTTTTAACTTTGTACATCAGCGCGAGTTCTGTAAGGTTAATATTTATTTTAGTGTAGACAATGGAGTGAAGACAAATTTTCTTTTTCCGATATCCCTAACAATTTGCTCTAATTCTCATTTGTATCAATTTCATTTTTTCTGAAATATTTTTTTTTAAATTAAATCTCTTATTCTTCACAACTCGGTCTTATAACTTATTCGTCCAGATAGAATTTTGCCTAGTGACGTTAATCTCTGTTACTCATTAAATTCTAGGGCTTTGAAATCAAAAGATGTATCAAGGTAGAATTTGATTTTGAAAAGTATCTCGAAACAATAAATTATTTTCAATACATAAAGTGACTCATAGAGTTGAATTTTTTCTTTAGCTTTAGAAAATACTTTCTGTAATTTTTCCCACAAATAGCTTCCGAAATTTTACAGTTGGCCACGTTTTAAAAAATGCTTACAATTTCGTTTTTTTGTTGAATATTAACAAACGGGAAGTTTCTATGATTTGAACCGGGAAAACCGGGAAATAACCGGGAATTTCAAAATGAAAAGTCACTGGCCACCCTGGTAGTGTATTTCTTCCAATAAGCAAAAATGATTCGAAACATTAATTGTGATTTTCTAAGATGCTACTTTTTGAACATGGGACAAACGTAGAACGGCATTGATAGTTTCTATAATTATGATAAACAAGTGAATTATGATTATAACAAACATAAAAATATTATCAAACATAAGCAAGCAACATATCCAACATACTTATTTGAAACTACAATATGTTTTAAGCGTTTTTTTTCGTCAATATTTTTATTAGGGTGATATCAATTTCCAACCAAATTCAATACAATTTATTTTAAAAACTCAAAGAAAAATCAGGTGAAATTAAAATTGCTGTACCCATCCTATTATGTGGGCAAAATTGAAACAATGGAAATCGCTTAAAAACAGATTTGAGTGTACACTGATATTTGAACCATTGAAAGTCAAACTGTCCATCAGTCCGTCACTTATTTATAATCGTTTGGGTGTGAATAAAGTCCTTGAGCGCTCAATGTTGCTCAAATGATGCCCTAAGACAAGATGCTCATGTTAGCGTGTGCGTATGTTAAGAATAATGACTGACATCGATGAGAGTGAATTTTCCCAGTATTAACTAAATTTTAAGATTCACTTTACCCTGTGACAAGTTTTAAATATCAACTGTCTAATATACAAAAAAAAAACACTATATTCACATCTTGTCTCTCATCTCTAATTGCAGCAAGCTAAGGAGATTCTGTGTGACCCAGAAAAGCGTGCCAACTATGACAAGTGGCGTGGCAGCGGCATCCAGATAAGCTACAAAAACTGGACCGGCATGAAGGAGCACGTTCAACAGAGCATGCACTGGGCCACACCAAAAACCAAGGATCGCATGCTGCCGGAAGCGGGCGCTACCACTGCCGCTGCTCCCACTGCCGCTGCTGCTGGTGCTGCTAGTGGTTTGAGTGCCGCTCAGCCCAACCCTGCTCACCGCCGTGCGTCGGAAGGTGGAGCAGCGTTGTACTACGGTGGCCGGAAGGGAGAATGGGGTCAGGAGAATCCAAGCGAAGTAGTTAACAAGTTCCGCAACTATGAGATATAAGTTGGAAGGGATGGTGTTGTTTTAAGTTGTTGAGTTACATAAATAAATGCACAGGTATGGGTGTAGGTTCCACGTGCCTTTTAGCTCGGTGCTATCACTAATCGTCAAGATCGTTTGTGCTCCTTTTTACCGTGGTTTCAGTATGGATCTCAAAGGCAACCGGAATCTGATACCCTTATCTGATTTTATATTGTATGGTTTATTCATGTTGTGTTTTTTAAAAGTATTCTAACAATTTTAAATGGCAATCAAAAAACGTTTTATTATTTTATGTTTATATTTTACAATCAATTTGATTGAATTAGACACTTTTCGATCCAAAATGGTTCGTTTAAGTGAAATGATATCGAAAGTTAATGATCTTATTCTGATATAAAAAATTTCACAGTAGCTGATAAAATGTTTGTTGTTTGATAAACTATTGTGTCATGTTAATTATGAAAAATTAAAACAATATGGTAATAGTACATTCATTAGCGATGTAAACATTGAAGAAAAATCTATGTTGATTCAAATATGTGTGAAGAAAATGAAAAAAAAAAAGAAGTTACAACTTAATGTCGATAGATATTTAATTAACAAGAAAAACAAACACATCACTGAGTAATGTATTTCATGTAGTAAACTTACGTTAGCAGCGACGGTCGTCGAATCGCGTAGAAAGATGCATCAAATGAGAGTAATAATTTCCATATACATGAACGAACAACACAAAGCAAAAGATCGCGTATCTTCCTTCTCAATGCGGCAAAGAAAACTGCGAACTGTTAAGAGTAAACAACATCATGTTTGCGCTAAAAAAAAAACATACAATCTATAGCATACAAACCAGTATACATGTGTAACGTTTATAAATTTTGTACCCAGATGAAGGACAAAAGAAGGAAATCAAAATAGATATTCTATACTGTTGAAGACTAATGTTTCCCTCATCGTAATGAAAGGAATGGTGTTTTTGATATCGTAGACTATTTTTCCACCTCTAGAAGATAAGACCATGCAGGGTGAAGAACTGGAAACTTGTCAAGAGCAGTTCTCATGTAGTGAGTTTACAAAGAATTGAGACTTTTCCGTCTCGAATTCACAAACCGTTTTGGATAAGACCAAGAGGAAAAGCCCGTTTAAAATGCCTCCACCTTTTTCCTTCACCCTTTCCTGCCTTCGGGACGGTTGCAATAAAACTTGTTCAACAATGACTTTATATATAAACAAATTTGAAACTAAAGGGAAACTCTATATTGCTATATTTTATATTCATCCTTTCTTTACAATAATATACTTTACACAAACAAACCCTCCAATAGATGGACTATATATTTTATCGAATAGGAGAAGAAAGTTTTTTTCTATATACACCACAAATCAAACAATAGGAAAGCACTTCGAAGAAAAGCCTTCCCTCAGCGTTGTACCTTTGCTAAGACAGAAACTATTTATTCTCATAGATATCCAGGTTGGAAATCCTTCGTGCAATCATTCCAACAATTGCCTGTAAGGTGAAAGAAAAACATCATCCGATGATGGGTGGTCTGGACTTCATTGGAACTCAAGCTGATGTAAGGTTCAGCTATGACAGGAATGAGTGCACGTAAATTTGTATCGTTTTTGTTTTTGCGGTGTAGCTACACCACCGTACAACAACATTATTCAGGATGTAGATTTCGGGTGCACCTTTGTTTACAAACAAATCATGTTGGCCTGTCAATTACTTCCGCTTGTTGCTAGATCGCAAAAACAAAAATGACATTAGAAGGAACCGTCTCCATATCCCACCAGAAGTTATTTATATCCAATCCTAGACCAATGAGAACAAATCAAAATCATAAAGATGGCTTGCAGAAGAAAATCATGAATGAGAATGAGACTTAAAGTATAAATATTTTCCAGTTATCGATGATTTACCCCAAACATAAAATTAAAAAAAAAAGAAGTATCGATGTGTACCTTTTTGCCAACAAACATAATTTAAAACTGATAAAAACTTAAATCTTAAAATTTAAATCAACATATGTCTATCGATAACGGCTCAAAGCTCAGAATAAAAAAAAAAGAAAAAAAAAAACACACCGACCCAAAACATTAAAATGTAAACGCAAACAAATCATCCACGACTAATTAGGATTCAATGTGATAAATTATAAAATGCTAAATATATATTGTACAATGTAAACGTAAGATAAATCAGTCAAATTTTCACGAGAACACGTAAACAAACACACGCTCACACACACACGCACACACTTGACACGACTTATGTAACACTTTGAACATAACATCACTCAAAATAAAGAACAAACAAAACATAAACATGCTGATTAACCGCAATAATTGATGAAGGATATCACATAACCAAAAGTGTAAGCGTGTGCTACAGGTTCTATTCTCTGCATTTGATCGAATCATCTTCCTGTCATGCAAAGCGGATGAACGATGGTGTACTTTCGGCAAAAATAAAATATAAAAACCCGAATTTATCCACCTATGGTGTGATCAGACCCTTCTTACTTATTCAAGTTTATTTATTTTATTGTCATTATCAGTGACCAAGCCCCCCACCCCCGTGTCATCCAGTGACGCTACGCCACTGCCTGGGGGTACCCGGAATATATCCGGGTGTAGTCTATTTGGTGAGGCTACCAATCACCTTATCATCGTATTTTAATGTGATTTAATGGGTTTTAATTCAATTCATATTCAAGCAACTTCCCCGGGGTACCCGGAACATGTCCAAGTGTGTCCAATGTGGTCCGGAACACTTAACACGACTTGCATTGATCTTATTTTTGAATTCTGTAGTAATTTGATGTGTCGCATGATGGTTTTGATACGTTTTCCGTTAAACCCAGCGTGAAGGCCCATATTCACCGGATCTTATTCCGGCCATATCTCCGGAATCGGTTCACCGATTCCAAAACCGTTCGATAGCGTTCAATGAGACCCCAAGACCTATCATTTGGCGCCGAGTTTGTCCAAATCGGTTGAGCGGTTGCTGAGAAACGTGAGCGCATTCATTTCGTTACATACACACACACATACACACATACACACACACACATACACACACACACACACACACACACACACACACAGGCATGTTCCGGTCTCGTCAAGCTGAGTCGAATGGTATATGACACTCGGCCCTCCGGGCCTCGGATCGATAGTCGGTTTTTCAAGTGATATCTATACGCTTCTTTGTAAGAAGGGTAAAAAAATATTTTAAAACAATTATCTTTTCAGCATTTATTTTATTTTCCAATGTAGAAGCATTTCTCTACCATAACCCAACAAGCAATATTTGAAAATCTGCATCATTTTGGTTTTGCACATTATTTTGATGTAGTTGGTGGATAGAGCACTACTTCGTCGTAATCGCCCATTTCCGTTCTATCGATCAATAATATCAATGATTTCACCATGCACAAATCAATAATAGGTTTGTTCCGATGCGTTAGTTCATAAGCTACAACAGAAGTCCTATTAGAGCGCATTGTTTGAATATTTACGCTCATTGTTCTCAAAACAAAAGCTGAAGATGCTAATTTCAAATAACAGACTAAGTGGTAATTTTTATACGATAGATAAGGAGATGAAAGTATAGAATTGATAGTTTCGTTAGAGTACGGCAGTGTGAAAATTGCATATAGAGAGTAGAAAGCGAGCAAGGACAACTTTAAGAAGGTACAAATAGGTTTGATCATCTCGCTATAACAAACTACCCCGTTGGAGAGGGATGGTGAGGGGTATTCTCCCCGCCACCACTGGCAAAAAGAGATAATCACCGACACGCTCAAGTACCGACGATGTGTTTGAAACAGTTCTACCGATTTTACCGTACTCCAGTTGTTTTCTGAAGGAAGGCATCCAGTCGTAGGTTTGGAAATTGCAGCTATTGTTACTTCTACCACGGTATGTCCTCGCTTTCTACTCTCTATATGCAATTTTCACACTGCCATACTCTAACGGAACTATCAATTCTATACTTTCATCTCTTCATCTATCGTATGGCCACTTAGTCTGTTATTTGAAATTAGCATCTTCAACTATGTGATTTTTAAATTATTTACTGATTTCGGCTGCTCCAAGAAACTTTAAAACTTATTTATTGGAAAATTTTTATTGATATACGTACACACTCAAAAATACCTAATTTTACACGTGATGGAATCCATCTTTGACTTAAAGGATGAGACGTAAACAAACATGTCATGTAAAATTAAGTGCTCTGAGACTGAAAAGATCGTTACTCGCTGAATTTTCCGTCTATTATGACTTAATTTTATGTCAAAATTGACGCTCGTATATGTAAGTCTAAGCGCACCTAAATTTGCATGATTTTTTCTAAGTGTGTACGTTGTCTGTACCTGGGGTCAATTTGACTCCAAATTTAATTTGCATACCTGAACGAAATTTCAATGGATTTCTGAAATTTTTAATGATGTTCAAAGTAAATTTAGTGGACTTTCTGTTTAAATTATCAGACTTTTTATGGAGGGGTGGATCTCTCGGGGGGAGGGGTAATTGTAAAAGTATACCAATGAAGTGGCATATTTTGATGTTAGAGATGTTTATATTAATAGACTCCAACTATTTGGGTTCCAGGTCATTTGGCCGAATTCCGGATGGCCGAATGCCAGAGGGCTGAGTGCCGGTTGGCCAAATGCCGGTTGACCGAATGCCGGTTGGCCGAATTCCAATTGGTCGAATGCCGATTATCCAAATGCCGTTTGGTAACAACCGATTGGCCGAATGCCGATTGACAGAATACCGTTTGGCCGAATGCCGAACAACAAAACTCCAAAGAACTGCTCATGTTTGAAAGAAAGAACAACCTTTTAAAATTATTAAAATTCTAATTTGTCTTAATGTTATGATAAGCTGCGTTTACTGTGCAAAAAGTAATAAGATCATCAAAACTCCAAAGAACTGCTCAATGTTTAAAATGCAGTGCTCATGTTAAAAAGGGTGGCTAAAATACCAATAACATATTTGAAAGCTTAACTTTAAAAGAATAATGAATCCATCGACAATATAAAATTCCAGTTTATACAATATACAATTTAACAAAAAATCCCATAGAGTCTACTTTGAGAAGCGTCCGAGAACGGTTGTGTGTTTTTGCTCCGCTGCGTGCTTTTATTTTTTTAGAGCTCGGGCTATCTTTGTGCTGGCGTGTAGTTTTTTGGCGCTCGCATTTGAATAGTTTTTTTTTGTCCCGGGCGCAATAATTTGATTTTTTGTTGCCGGTGTGACTCGACCACGCTGATTTTAGGTTTTTGAAATGTGTATTGCTTTTATGAAAAGTGAAAAGTCAAATACCTAGAATTGTGGAAAGTAAAAACAAAAGTGCACAGGGCTGCCATTTAGGAATCTAGTAGTGTTTAAAAATTGGAAATCTGTTTTCAAGTATTCAGCCAAACGGTATTCGTGCAATTTTCAACAGTGGCATTTGTTAATTGATGCGTTGAAATATTTCTGATCGATTGGCGATAAAATTATTGGAATTGGTCAAGGAGCAGCTGAGTTATTAACGTTCAAAATCTTTCATAATTTCGTACATGTTCCATTCTCAGTTTCACGTAGTGTGCCCCATATAGAAATCACAGACGTAGTCCTACGTCAAAAACAACATTATTCTTCTTCTTCTTCTTCTTCTTCTTCTTCTTCTTCTTCTTCTTCTTTGCATTTCAAGCTTATTGCATATCGCATATTATTTAGCTTATTGCGTACTCTCACCTTAGTGTTCTAGATGCACTTCCACAGTTATTAATTGAGCGCTTCCACTGCCGGTACCACTTTTGCATTAGTATAATCATAGAGGTAACTCTAAGACTAGAAGGTCCCGAAACAACGTGCTCAACTTTTTGGCTCAGCTCTGGTACTCTCTTCGGTCCCAAGCTAATCGATTCACCCCTCGAAACATAGGAAAATCCACTAACCCCTCATTTTATCTGTCAAACTTTCATAGTGAATCAAAACAAACATTGCGTAGTACTAGAATTTCGACTAGAATGGGATACGTTAATCGTTTGCTTGGGACCAATAGGCTAGTCAAGTAGTGAGCCAATTTAAAATCGTTAGTTTCGTATTGATTGTTGGTATAATTGTGTGGCAAGTACAATCATATTCTATGCCCAGGGAAGTCGAGAAATTTTCCAACCCGAAATTTTTTTAGACCGGACCGGGAATCGAACCCAGCCACCTCCAGCATGGTCTTGCTTTGCGCTTTTACCGACTGAGCTAAGGGAGGCTCGAAACATGCAAAACAACATGCAATCAGTTAATAATCTCGTTAAGATGTTGAAGTAATGAAATTGAGTTGTTAGCGGAATGCTTAAATAAAACAGCAAAAAAGGTTATCTTCCATTTAATTCCACATAATTAATTTTGATATCCATGACAGATACGTATTTCTACTTCAATGTCATTCCCACAGTCTTCATCAGTGTCATTCCTACTAAAGAACTTATCAAAATCTAATTCCCTTGAGTACTCATCCTCTAGGTAAAAATGTCAAGATCACAGTCAAGATATTGACATTTTCACCTAGAGGATGAGAACTTAAGGGAATTAGATTTTGATAAGTTCTTTAGTGGGAATGACACTGATGAAGACTGCACATTGTAGTCGAAATACGTATCTGTCATGGATATCAAAATTAATTAAGTGGAATCCAATGGAAGATAAACTTTTTTGCTGTTTTACTCATTACGATAGCTATTTCAGACAGTTCTGTATTGCGCTCTCCTAAAATGCATGCACTGCCCTTAGCATCTATGAACCACCTCTCTATCTCCACCAGATAAGTGTCTAGATGAAAGCCGTTTTTGCTTGTAGCGGAGGATCGTGGGTTCTATCCCGCACCTCTTTGCATTTGTTGTAGATGGAGTCACATTCTAGCAGCAGTTACTCACTATACTTTGAGCGGTCGAAAGTATTCTAGGGAGAGACCAAATCTGATGCGCCTAAAAACAAGGACGTCCTTCTTGTGACAATCGTGGAGATGACCGTGTCTGTTCACCACGACCAGCAGTCTTCGTGAAATATTGCGGCAAGAGGTTAATTGCGAAAGGGGCACCCTTCACTTTCGTCTGCTGACGATATGTCATCCAATAGCATTTGTGCAATGTTTTGCGGTATGTATGACGTGACCTTGATCTTGTATCGACGGTTTTGATGTGGTTGTGCGGCGGTTGAATGATTTGTGAAGAAAACCCCGTTTTAAAACGCAATAGAGCTCGGTCGAGACTGCGTAGAGATCAGCAATATTTTTCACCGTAATGCTCGATACTGATCGAGGAGGTAATTCTATGTGAATGCCAAAACGAATCCATTTGAATAACTTCAATTCGTCGGGCTTGAGCAATCGTTGTTCGTACACATTAAGATTTTGTTTCCGTTTTCGGTAAATTCTACCGAAATCAGAACAGCTGAGCGTTCGGTAAAACTTTGACTTTCATTTTAAAGGCTATTGAATTTGAAAATAATTTCAAAACATGTTCAACCTTGTTTAAATTATCTAATCTTGTAATTTTACTGGAAATTTAGTTTCAAAGTAGCTGAATAGCAATTGAATTGTATTGCATAAATTTTACCGAAAAGTTCAGCTGTTCAGATTTCGGTAAAAATTACCGAAGTCGGCGATAATTCCTAAGTGTGTAATGTTTTGTGGTTATGCAAGGAGCTCTGTGGCCAAGTAGTGACAGTTTTTGATTACTGAGTAAAAGATCGTTAAATCTCACACTACTTTCTATTGTAGATTATTTAAAAAAAAAGTTAAGGTAGACAATCGCTCGAAACAGCGCGGAAAAATTGATGTCAATCTATCCAGCAGGCCACTTTTCACAAAAGTTGATAAAATTATGTTTTTCGTAGTGTACCAACTGCGTACCATAGCGTACCTTCAAGGATTTTGAACGTATCTCGCAAATTCCTTGTTTTAGAATGTCCTGCTGAATAGACGGGTGATTTTTCGAAAACCTTCATTAAACCTTCCAAAACTTTTACCAATGTAGTGTACCAATAGCGTGCCTTCCAAATTTGAGGTTCATTTTTAACGTACCTCAAAATTTACTATACTTACTTATATAAAACTCTTTAAAATACATTATATGTAAATCTGACTTCGGATTTGAATTGATTTTTAAACAAGTATATCGAAATACCCTTGAATACCTACATCCAGCTAAACAATAGATTGACATAATTCAAGTGTGTATGTGTAAGCTACTTCAAGGATATACTGTGAAAAATTCAACCTATTTGATGGAGGTTTTCTGATGTATATATATATTGGTATTTTAAAAGATAATAAGATAAATTGAACTATATCTTCAAATATTCCCCCTTATTCTGCGCCGCGAGTGAGGTGAGGTGACTCGCTGTCACTTGTGAGGTGACAAACGTAAAGTAAAGGGAAGTAAAAGCCGTTGGGAAGTAAAGCCGTTGATCCCCGGCTTATGAGTTGATGGGTCAATAGGTAAGATCCAAATGTGGGAGCTGCCTCCCTGGCGACGGAAGCATTGGTGCAAGGAAAAAATATGATCCTCGATTTTCACAAGTGTTTCATGATATTCTGTGAAAATTTCAGCCTTTTTGATGCAGGTATTCTGATATATCTTGGTATTTTTTTAAAGATAATTAGATAATTCCATGAACTTCGGCAGAAATTCTCTGAACTTCGGCAGGACTTCGCTGAACTTCAGCAGGAGTTCCTTGAAATTTGACAGGCCTTTCCTGAACTACGGCAGGACTTCCCTGAGGTTTGCCAGGCCTTCCCTGAACTTCATCAGGACTTCCATGATTTTCAAGAATTGAAATGAAAGGACTTCCTTGAACTTCAGCAGCCCTTCCCTGAACTTTGGCAGAACTTCCCTGAACTTCGGCAGAACTTCTTTGAACTTCGGCAGGACTTCCCTGAACTTCAGCAGGACTTCCCTGAACTTACTCAGGACTTCCCTGAACTTCGGTAGAACTTCTCTGATTTTCGGCAGGAGATTTCTTTTATATGGCTTTCTCAATCTCGGGTAATCCAAACAGTCAGTTTTGCATTACCTTAGACTGAGAAAGCCATATAAAAGAAATCTCCATAATCATTATGCTACGACACTCCGTTCAAAAGATAAAATCTATGCGTGAAAATGAACTGATAAGATACTATGCACCTTTGTCGTAGATCACAAATCTGTAGGAAATCTGAACTAGATGTTTTGTTCATGCTACCAGCTTTGCAACCCCACCGTGCAAAGCCCTTAACGTAGAAGCTATCGACCAACATCTGGCCTGGCCCTTGGTAAAAGGTGAAAATTTCACTGAGGAATGGTATTCATTGGAATTCATTACGGATTCAAGAATGTGTGTGTGTGTAAGAATACAAAACTATTTGATTACTTTTCTCAGAAAACTTTATTTGTAACAGTTAAATCCAATTCAACGTCAAGTACATGATGCGTAAGACAGAATCAAAGCAGTGATCTATTGATTTATCTGTTTTACTGTGCATTTAAAAAAACTTTAAGAACTGATGGCAGTTCAATTCGAAAAAAATAGTTTCAAATATGCTTCATGAAACAAAGATAACTAGCAGCTTAAATGCATTTAACTTACATGAAAGAAGGATATACATGAAATTTGAAATGATAAACGAAAGAGTGAATTTTGGTGTTGTTCATTTTCTAAAAAATATATATATAAAATCTTTATCTTAATGTACTATTTTGGTAAAGTTCGTTTCTCCACTGGGAAGAAATCCATGACATGGCAACTCGTATCTTTCAGTTCACGTGAAATCGCTCAATTCTTCTTCATCCTCACTCAGCTCATCCAATTCATCTTCATAAACTATATTCTGTCAAAATTCTTCCGGGTGGTCCGGTCGCAGCTCGCATGGTCTTAGGAATTCCTGACCCCGTTCGTGGATCCATTTGTTTGACACTGCAAGTTAAAAATTTGCTTTATACCGATAGTAATAGTCAAATCTTCAATTGCTTACCCCATTTAGTACCGGTTAGGACAGGACATGCTGCGTGCCGCGTGGAATAGTCGCCTTGGCCCGATGCATGCAGATTGAACCAGAAAGCAGCCGTCCCCTTCTTTGGCTGCAGTGCCACTCGTATACTGGGAAACACAGTGGCTCCTCCTTGTGCGATATCGGTCATCTGCAAAGATTTGTTTGAAATCAATTGATAATCATAACGCATATAACTATATTATACAAAACTTACATAGAACAAAACGGTTGCAATCCTATTTCCAGTCCCGAGACTTTTGAAAGCATTCGTTTCCTCCCGTCTAGCAAAGTCAAAATGTGGCTCGTAGTGACCGCCAATACCATAATTGACTACCTGTAGCTCCTCAGCCGTAGTCATAGTAAGTCCAGTCATATCTTCCACCCTTTGCCCAATAGCCTTGATGTATGGATGCTCTTGATCCTTCAACCATGCCGATTTACTAATTCGATAGTTTGCAACCTCCAACTCACCCGTTTTGTAGTTCTGTACCGTCGCTCGTCTAAACCGTGGCTTAGCCAGACGCTTGACAAGTTCGATCTCCGCGTCTGATATGACTTCGTGATAAACCACTATATATGGCTTCAGGTTCGCTTCTTCGAGCTTTAGTGGTGCAATCTTCAAGAAGGCGGATTTATTTGTGACGTACCGACACTTTAACTTAGACGTATCAGCGACAGCGCGTCCGGCTTCTCCCCGACAAAGTTGTTCGTAGAGTTTGCGTTCCGAGGTATCGTACACGTGTGGATTACTTTCGGTGCGGATTTGCTGCAAATAGAATGGATGATTTAAGGTTACGTCCACCAGTCAACAATGTCAATTGGTCTAGCACTGATTTTCACTTCCTATGCGGATATTCATAGTAAGCATGATATCAAGCGGTACGGCTTTGACATTACTTTCCATATGAGTATCACTAGGGAAAAGTAGAAAATCTGACTTATATTTCAATAAATCAACTTTTTTGTATAATCTTTGAATTGTTTTAATATTAATGATGCGTTTTATAAAGATCGGTACTCGATTAGCAGGTTTAAACAACCAAATTTGCGGCAGAACTTAGAATATCAATCCATGTGTATATGTGTATTAGAGCACCCGTGTGTGTATTTTCAGAAGAACCAGAGGGTTTAAGGAGATGGGGTGAGTAATTAATTTATCACACAAATATTGGTCAAAGGTTTATGTTTAAAAAATGCAGTGAATAACATAAACTTTTTATATGATTCGTTATATTAACATATAATATCAATTTCACATTTATAATCTTTAATAACACTTTATTGAATTACAATATGGAAGGGAGGATAAAGGGTATTAGACAAATTGTAGGATGGACGAGGGAGTTGTGGTTGCCAGGCCCAAATCATGGGAGATAGTTATACCTTCTTTGATGGAAATTCTTGAATCGATATTATCGAGGCTATAGTTATCTTCTGACAGCCTACAGAGAGTTTGATGCACCCTTTTTCGAACAAACCACCAAACGGAAATCTTAATGTGTATTGCCTTATATGTATGTCCTGTAATAAGATTCTCTATCCCACCCTTCAAACCAAGAAGACGACCTCAAATTATAAACAGCTTTCGGGGACGCCGTTTTATTTGCATAGCTTTGCTGCGTATGCAACAACTCGACGAACAATTGAAGAAACATTATTATTTAAAAAAATATTTTCAGCTCTTCAATGATGAAACATCTTTTGAGTTCGTTGATGACAGAACATCTTTGGATTTATAACGTAATGATTAGTTTTTCTCAGCCTTCACTCAAGTTAGATCCATTGTTTTAAATAAGATAAGTTTATTTTCAGATCGTTGAATATTTGAATAGGGGAATTTACGTATTCTCGGCAACCTAAGCAGCGACCTTCTTTCTATAGGCTTTTTCTCTATGGAACGCACACATATGCAGTATTGGTTTGTTTACAATCTTTTGCTGCCATCTGCTCTAACAATTTCAGTCGAAAGAATTGTCAAAAACTGTTTTGAAACGCTTTTACAAAGCTCCAATCTTCTCTAGTGAGAGCGAGTATTGTCGGCAACCAGTTTTTCTTCGGCAACCGTCCCATTTGAACTGCATGTAAATCTGCTGTTCTATTATCGGCAACTCGAAATCAGCTACAATTTGTAGTGCGTGTATTTCATTTCAAGAAAACCCTGCTAGATTGCTTTTTCTCAGTGGTAAAAATATAGTCAAATTGAAGCTGAAAGCATAAAGAATCGTTTGCATGCATTCAGCGAAGTGTTTTTTGTAAGAAAATCCAGTGAAAATGGTGTTTCAATTTGGGTTGCCGAAAATAGTCTGTCATGCCGAAGCCGTCATTTCCCCTATATGACATCATTAGATTTACATTATAACAATACACTTTTTTCAGTTTTCATTCATGCGGGATGTATGGATTTTAATTATTTAAGCTTGCTTTCAGCTATTCGATGATGAAACACCTCTAGGATTATATTATAATACATATTTCATTTATATTATTGAATTTTGAGAGCTCATCCGCAAGATCTTCAACGTTGTACCGGACAACGATTTTATCGGTTTTAGAGTACGGTAGTTTTTGCTTCCAGTCGGCGGTTAAAACTCACATCATCAAACTGGAACGTATCCAGTATCGTTGTCTTCGTATCGCGTTAGGATGCATGCACTCGACTCATACGATGAGTCTCGAAGTGTTGGCGGGCATGTTGCCACTATCGGATCGGTTTTCGGAATTGTCCCTCAGGCTCCTCACCCGTTGTGAAGTTATGAACCCACTGGTAATCGAAAACTTTGAGAAGCTTCTTGAGCTAAACCCTCAAACTCGTTTTATGTCATTGTACTACGTGTACATAACTCAGGATGTCAGCCCTTCACAGCATAATCCCCATCGTGTATGCTTCTCCGACTTCGGCAATTCAGTTAGTTTTGATTTATCTATGACGCGGGAGATTCGTGGAATCCCAGAGCATCATCGTTCCATGATTGTTCCGTCAATTTACGCTGCAAAGTTTGGCCAAGTTGATTCTGCAAGATCGTTCTTCACAGATGGATCACTAATAGAGGCGTCCGCTGGATTTGGTATTTATAACGAATTTCATAGCGCCTCTCGAATGCTTCAAGCTCCTTGTTCCGTATATGTTGCTGAACTGGCGGCAATACACTATACGCTAGAAACGATCGCCTCACTTGCACCAGATTACTATTTTATTTTTACGGATAGTCTCAGTTCTGTCGAGGCTATTCGCTCCATGAGGCCGGTAAAGCACTCCTCGTATTTTCTCATGAAAATACGAGAGCTTCTGAGTGCTTTATCTTTAAGATCTTTTGTCATCACCTTTGCATGGGTCCCATCTCATTGCTCGATTTTGGGCAATGAGAAGGCGGACTCACTTGCTAAGGTGGGCGCTATGCAAGGCGATATTTACGATCGACAAATCGCCTACAATGATTTTTTCTTCATTTATCGTCAACAGTCGCTCGCCAGCTGGCAAAATAAATGGAGTGAAGGAAGTTTGGGACGATGGCTATTCTCGATCATCCCTAAGGTGTCGAAGAGTCCTTGGTTCAAGGGGTTGGATGTGGGTCGAGACTTCATTCGTCTGATGTCTCGCCTCATGTCCAATCACTATTCGTTAAACGCTCACTTGTTTCGTGTTGGGCTGGGAGACAGCAATCTCTGTGAATGTGGACAAGGTTACCAAGACGCCGATCACATCCTTTGGTCTTGTGCTGAGCATCGTGGAGTCAGATCTGAGCTGTGCGATTCCCTTCGGGCTCGAGGTAAACAACCTAATGTTCCAGTTCGGGATATTTTGGCTAGACGTGATCTGGAGTTTATGAAACTCATATATGTTTACTTTAAGAATACTAACCTTAGATTGTAAGTTTGATTAACCTTGTGTTTAGTTTGTGTATTGTGCGTGTAGTTTTTTTTAATGTTTGTTTTCAAGATGAATAGAAATAAGTTCATGTTTTAGGATTAATTAAATATTTGTATAATAAATCATATTTCAAACCTCCTTCTCCCTTTCCCCATTCAAAAAATTGTAAAATCTCCACTAACCTCGAGACGACCGCGAGTAATCGGTTCAATTCCTTTAACTCTAGATTTAAGACATTAATCATGTATAATGCAAATGATAACTCGGCTCTGTAAAGTTTATTCGATTGAGCCTGTACAAATAAATTAATTAAAAAAAAAAATTATTGAATTTTGCATTTATATTATAAATATTAACTTTTCCAGCTTAGAGATGAACTAGCCTACAGAAGTTAAGGTAAAGTTAATGTAAAGTTAAAGTTAAGTTAGAGTAAAATTAAAGTTAAGTTAAAGTGAAGTTAAAGTCAAGTTAAGTTAAAGATAAGTTAAAGTTAAGTTAAAGTTAAGTTAAAGTTAAGTTAAAGTTAAGTTAAAGTTAAGTTAAAGTTAAGTTAAAGTTAAGTTAAAGTTAAGTTAAGGTTAAGTTAAAGTTAAGTTAATGTTAAGTTAAAGTTAAGTTAAAGTTAAGTTAAAGTTAAGTTAAAGTTAAGTTAAAGTTAAGTTAAAGTTAAGTTAAAGTTAAGTTAAAGTTAAGCTAAAGTTAAGTTAAAGTTAAGTTAAAGTTAAGTTAAAGTTAAGTTAAAGTTAAGTTAAAGTTAAGTTAAAGTTAAGTTAAAGTTAAGTTAAAGTTAAGTTAAAGTTAAGTTAAAGTTAAGTTAAAGTTAAGTTAAAGTTAAGTTAAAGTTAAGTTAAAGTTAAGTTAAAGTTAAGTTAAAGTTAAGTTAAAGTTAAGTTAAAGTTAAGTTAAAGTTAAGCTAAAGTTAAGTTAAAGTTAAGTTAAAGTTAAGTTAAAGTTAAGTTAAAGTTAAGTTAAAGTTAAGTTAAAGTTAAGTTAAAGTTAAGTTAAAGTTAAGTTAAAGTTAAGTTAAAGTTAAGTTAAAGTTAAGTTAAAGTTAAGTTAAAGTTAAGTTAAAGTTAAGCTAAAGTTAAGTTAAAGTTAAGTTAAAGTTAAGTTAAAGTTAAGTTAAAGTTAAGTTAAAGTTAAGTTAAAGTTAAGTTAAAGTTAAGTTAAAGTTAAGTTAAAGTTAAGTTAAAGTTAAGTTAAAGTTAAGTTAAAGTTAAGTTAAAGTTAAGTTAAAGTTAAGTTAAAGTTAAGTTAAAGTTAAGTTAAAGTTAAGTTAAAGTTAAGTTAAAGTTAAGTTAAAGTTAAGTTAAAGTTAAGTTAAAGTTAAGTTAAAGTTAAGTTAAAGTTAAGTTAAAGTTAAGTTAAAGTTAAGTTAAAGTTAAGTTAAAGTTAAGTTAAAGTTAAGTTAAAGTTAAGTTAAAGTTAAGTTAAAGTTAAGTTAAAGTTAAGTTAAAGTTAAGTTAAAGTTAAGTTAAAGTTAATTTAAAGTTAAGTTAAAGTTAAGTTAAAGTTAAGTTAAAGTTAAGTTAAAGTTAATTTAAAGTTAAGTTAAAGTTAAGTTAAAGTTAAGTTAAAGTTAAGTTAAAGTTAAGTTAAAGTTAAGTTAAAGTTAAGTTAAAGTTAAGTTAAAGTTAAGTTAAAGTTAAGTTAAAGTTAAGTTAAAGTTAAGTTAAAGTTAAGTTAAAGTTAAGTTAAAGTTAAGTTAAAGTTAAGTTAAAGTTAAGTTAAAGTTAAGTGTTAAAGTTAAGTTAAAGTTAAGTTAAAGTTAAGTTAAAGTTAAGTTAAAGTTAAGTTAAAGTTAAGTTAAAGTTAAGTTAAAGTTAAGTTAAAGTTAAGTTAAAGTTAAGTTAAAGTTAAGTTGAAGTTGAGTTAAAGTTAAGTTAAAGTTAAGTCAA